AAGGAGAGCTGCATACCGGCCCCTCCCCACCCAGAGGCAGAGAGGCAGGCTTGTGATAGCTAGACAGCTAGAGGCAGAAGGCAAGGGGCTGTTACAATCTCAGCCCCGGAGACAGCATCTTCCACCAACAGTGAGCAGGCTCCCAGCTGTCTTCCTGAGATTCTGGGTGGTTGACGTCTGCTGGAAGGGCTGCAGCCTGAGATCAGCTCTCCTGAGGAGACAAACGGCACACCTGAGACAGTGCTCTTGCGGCACCCCCAGGAAAGTGAGCGATTGGGATCTGGGAGGTGATTAAGATGCACGGCCCACCTGGGACAGTGCGCTCGCCAAGCACCTGGTCACCTGAGCGGCTCAGTCCTGGGAATGGCACAACACGCCCAGCCCACAGAGACTGAGCCAGAAACACGTCTCCTGCATAGGTGCGGTCAGCAGAGGCCTGCCGCAGGGCTCTGGGTGCAGCAGACCTGGCTACGGCAAAAGCCCTTTGCAGGAGGGTGCCATTAACCCCACCATAGAGCCACCAGAACTTACACAGGACTGAGGAAACAGGACTCTTGGAGGCCACAAACAGAACCTTGTGCACACCAGGACCCAGGAGAAAGGAGCAGTGACCCCACAAGGGACTGGCCCAGACTTGCCCGTGAGTGCCCAGGAGTCTCTGGCGGAGGCGTGGGTCGGCGGTGGCCTGCTGCAGGTTCGGGGGCACTGAGTGCAGCAGTGCAGCACGGGACCCTTTGAAGGAGGTCGCCCTTATCTTCATTATCTCCACCATAGTTTGGCCTCAGGTCAAGCAACAGGGAGGGAACACAGCCCTGCCCATCTTCAGAAAATTGGATTGAAGATTTACTGAACATGTCCCCGCCCATCAGAACAAGACCCAGTTTCCCCCTCAGTCAGTCTTTCCCTTCAGGAAGCTTCCATAAGCCTCTTATCCTTCTCCCTCAGAGGGCAGATGAAAACCACAATCACAGAAAACTGACCAATCAGATCACATGGACCACAGCCTTGTCTAGCTCAATGAAACTATGAGCCGTTCTGTGTGGGGCCTCCCATGACAGACAGGTCATGGCGGAGAGTTCTGACAAACTGTGGTCCACTGGAGAAGGGAATGGCAGACCACTTCAGTGTTCTTGCCTTGAGAACCCCATGAACAGTATGAAAAAGCAAAAAGATAGGACACTGAAAGATGAACTCCCCAGGTCAGTAGGTGCCCAATATGCTGCTGGAGAAGAGTGCAGAAATAACTGCAGAAAGAATGAAGAGATGGAGCCAAAGGAAAAACAACATTCAGTTGTGGATGTGATGGGTGATGGAAGTAAAGTCTGATGTTGTAAAGAACAGTATTGCATAGGATCTTGGCACGTTAGATCCATGAATCAAGGCAAATTGGAAGTGGTCAAACAGGAGATGGCAAGAGTGAATGTTGACATTTTAGGAATCAGTGAACTAAAATGGACTGGAATGGGTGAATTTAACTCAAGATTATATCTACTATTGTGGGCAAGAATCCCTTAGGAGAAAAGGAGTAGCCATCATAGATAAGAGTTCAAAGTGCAGTACTTAGATGAAATCTCAAAAACAACAGGACGATCTCTTTTCGTTTCCAAGGCAAACCATTCAGTATCACAGTAATCCAAGTCTATGCCCCGACCGGTAATGCCGAAGAAGCTGAAGTTGAATGGTTCTATGAAGACCTACAAGACCTTCTAGAACTAACACCCAAAAAAGATGTCCTCTTCTTTGTAGGGGACTGGAATGCAAAAGTAGGAAATCAAGAGATACCTTGAGTAACAGGCAAATTTGGCCTTGGAGTACAAAATGAAGCAGGGCAAAGGCTAACAGAGTTTTGCCAAGACAACGCACTGGTCACAGCAAACACCCTCTCCCAACAACACAAGAGAAGACTACACATGGACATCACCAGATGGTCAATACTGAGATCAGATCGATTGTATTCTTTGCAGCCAAAGATGGAGAAGCTCTATACAGTTAGCAAAAACAAGACTGGGACCTGACTGTGGTTCAGATCATGAACTCCTTATTGCCAAATTCAGACTTAAATTGAAGAAAGTAGGGAAAACCACCAGACCATTCAGGTATGACCTAAATCAGACCCCTTAATGATTATGCAGTGGAAGTGAGGAATAGATTCAGGGGATTAGATCTGATAGAGTAACTGAAGAACTATGGATGGAGGTTCGTGATATTGCACAGGAGACAGTGGTCAAGACCATCTCCAAGAAAAAGAAATGCAAAAAGGCAAAATGGTTGTCTGATGAGGTCTTACAAGTAGCTGAGAAAAGAAGCTAAAGGCAAAGGAGAAAAGAAAAGATATACCCATTTGAATGCAGAGTTCCAAAGAATAGCAAGGGAGAGATAAGAAAGCTTTCTCCAGTGATCAGTGCAAAGAAATAGAGGAAAAAGAGAGTGGGAAAGACTAGAGATCTCTTCAAGAAAATTAGAGACACCAAGGGAACATTTCCTGTAAAGATGAGCTCAATAAAGGACAGAAATGGTATGGACCTAACAGAAGCAGAAGATATTAAGAGGTGGCAAGAATACACAGAAGAACTATGCAAAAAAGATCTTCATGACCTGGATAACCATGATGGTGTGATCACTCACCTAGAGCCATCCTGGAATGTGAAGTCAAGTGGGCCTTAGAAAGCCTCACTACGAACAAAGCTAGTGGAGATGATGGAATTCCAGTTGAGCTATTTCAAATCATAAAAGATGATGCTGTGAAAGTGCTGCATTCAATATGCCAGCAAATTTGGAAAACTCAGCAGTGGCCACAGGACTGGAAAAGTTCAGTTTTCATTCCAATCCCAGAGAAAGGCAATCCCGAAGAATGTTCAAAGTACCACACGATTGCACTCATCTCACATGCTAGCAAAGAAATGCTCAAAATTCTCCAAGCCAGACTTCAACAGTATGTGAACTGTGAACTTCCAGATATTCAAGCTGGTTTTAGAAAAGGCAGAGGAACCAGAGATCAAATTGCCAACATCTGCTGGATCATTGAAAAAGCAGGAGAGTTCCAGAAAAACGTTTGCTTTATTGACTATGCCAAAGCCTTTGACTGTGTGGATCACAACAAACTGTGACATATTTTCTATGTTACATGTAGTTTATACTGTAATCTTACAATAAAGTAAGCTTAGAGAAGATAAAACGCTATTAAGGGAATCATAAGAAAGAGAAAATACATTTTCAGTTCTGTACTGTACTGATGGACATAGGAAGTTTGCTTTGTATGTTTACAAAATGAGTCATTTTCTGTCTGTACCTTCATCACTGCTGTCTTAATAGGATACACAATCTGTAGGTATCATGTGTTTTACTAACACTGGACATCATAATGAAAATGTGAAAAAGGAATTCATAGTTATTTACAGGTGTGAAGCGGCAGCAATGGGATTACTTTCTGGTAGCTTAGTGTCTGAGATATGATTGCTTCATAGTAGCCTAGCCTGTGCACTTATTAACGAGTTGTAAAATTTGTGTAGCATTTCAAATTTTGTACAGTCATGTTCAATATAGTATTAGAAATGCTACATTTAAAGAAAAACAACCTCTGATGATAGGTTGATGTGTCACCTATAATAACTTCTCCACTTAGGAGAGAGGCATACTGTATGATACTGTAATTCTTTGAAAGTAAAGTTATAAAAGTGAGAAAAAGTTGTTAATTTTATATTAAGTATCACTTACTTTATGCCTGTGTAAGGATAGACTAATATCTATATCTGCATATATTCTATGCATTCATGACACACCTTTTTTTCATTTTCTTTTTTAAAATTTTTTTATTTTATTTTTTTTTCATTTATTTTTATTAGTTGGAGGCTAATCACTTTACAATACCGCAGTGGGTCTTGTCATACATTGACATGAATCAGCCCATTTTCTTTTATATCTTTAGTCTTTGTGGTTCGCCTTCAGATTTTCCAAATTGTCGTAAATCTCCAAACATTTTTCTAATATATTTATCAAAAAAAAAGTCTGTGTATTCCCTGATGGCTCAGTTGATAAAGAATCCACCTGCAATGCAGGAGACCCCGATTCGATTCCTAGGTTAGGAAGATCCCCTGAAGAAGGGATAGGCTACCCATTCAAGCATTCTTGGACTTACCTTGTGGCTCAGCTGGTAGAGAATCCACCTGCAATGAGGGAGACCTGAGTTTGGTCCCTGGGTTGGGAAGATCTCCTGGAGAAGGGAACAGCTATCCACTCCATATTCTGGCCTAGAGAATTGCATGTACTGTATAGTCCATGGAGTCACAAACAGTTGGACACAACTGAGCGACTTGTACTTTCATAATTGGGCCCAGACAGTTCAAACCTGTGTGGTTCAGTGGTCAACTGTACTTACCAAGAAATAGGATCTAAAATGTATTGTTCATCACTTTGTTGATATGTGATGGATTATTTTAGTAGCTACAGTGATTCCATATTATTCCACCTTAGAATTGACAGACAGCTTGTCTGTTGCCCTCAGCTCTGTCCCATTGCAACCACTGTTGAGTTGGTTTTATGAATAAGTTTAAGGTGGAACTGCTGGTCTGTTTCATAAGATGTGTTATGAGAAACAGTCCTGGGAAACATGTCCTGTTAAGTATATGAAGATTCACAGGAGAAATTGCAGTAGTTTCATTCTCCTGTTTTCTTGCAAGTTAAAGAAGGGAAACTTGATGAGAAAAGTAGAAATAAATGCAAGTGTGGTTGTTTCTTCCTGTCGTGCTTAGTGGCTCTCAGGTGACAATATAAAAATAACTATCTCTGTGGAAGAAGTTATTCAACTTGGGCATTGTTTAACAAATTTTTAGAGTTGAGCTAGTTTTGTTTGATTCAAATTATGAACAAGTAAATAAAAACAAGTGTGACAGAGATTTGAGACTTTATTATAAGTTCCCCAAACTTACTTGGGAACAGAGAAGCTACATCAACCATTTGTGCTTTTAAATAATTTAAATAGTTGAATTTTCCTTCTCTTTCAGTTCCTGGAATTGATGGAGGTGCTTTGACTGATACGAGTCTCACAGATTCCTATTTCAGCACCAGCTTTATTGGAGTCAATGGATTTGGAAGCCCTGTGGAGACGAAGTATCCTGTGATGCAGGTATTGTTGGTGTGAATTCTCATGGCCCTGGACACTGAGGTGTGTTTTGGGGATGGAGACCTCTAGAGTCTTCCTTTGTCCTCACATTTGGTGAGTGGGAGGTGGACCTTTAGGAGGTGATGAGGTCAGAGGGATACAGGTAAGCCACCTCCTGTAGTGAAGTCAGGTGAGCTTTCAAGGGTGGAGTTGAAGTGTAGAGGATGGTTAGAAAGAGGCTAGTTTTCCTCCTGTGTGTGTTGTGATTATGGGATGAAGTCCTTTCAGGATCGCGAGACCGTAGAGGCTGTGGAGTGTGTTAAGGAAGGGTGGGACATGGCCAGAGAAGAGATGAGCCTAATTTCATAGCATCTATCAGGTGTATGAAGGATAATACGTATTGAGGGAGAATAGCAGAGTGTTTATTGACTCTGTCATTCACATCCCCCAGATGGATACTTACGAAGAAGGAAACTGAGTAGTTATGTGTCTTGCTCAGGCTAGTAAGTTATGGAAGTGCAGTTCAAAATGGTTCTGTGACTGGTTTTAAATACCTGGCTAATGAGTAAAATAAGTTTCTGCCTAGGTGATTGTAGTCCATGCAGCAGCATTATAGGAAGGTGAGCATGTCACTGATGTGAACTATGGGTTGGAGGGGTAGATGCAAAGAGGGTCAGTCTAAACTTAATCGGTTGAATATTCTTAATTCTGCATTCTTCAGTGATATTATGTATATATGTTTTAATTTTCAGAGAATGACTAATAGTAGCAGCTCCCCAAGCCTTCTAAATGACAGTGCCAAGCCATACGCAGGCCACGGTAAGACTCAATCCCTTTTTCTTTTATAGGTATGTGTATTTCTGACTCTAAAAACAATATATCCATGGTAGAGATTTTGAAAATTATAGATATAAGGAAGAAAAAAGAAATGATCTATTATCTTCACAGTCGGAGGTAATTGTTAAAATTTGGATAAATATATATAAACACATAAAATACTTTCAAGTATATGCATAATAATACTTAAGATCACATTAAATATACTTTTAAAATATAGCGTGAATGTTTCTCAATCATTGTAAATTGAATCCTATTGTTTATTTTCATAATTTACTTTTTTTTTTTAAAGATTACACTCCAATATTGGACTATGTGTATGAATCTGTGTTCATATTTTGAGTTATTTCTTTTGGAAACATTGTTAGACATGAAATTACTGTTTTATGGTTATGGACGTTTTTTAAGACTTTTGATACAGAATTTCCTTTTTGTATCCTAATTGAAAAATAAATCTTCTGTATCTTTCTGGATCCTATTTTAAAAATAAATGTTCAGGAATGCTTTTTTTATAAGTATGTTACAATTGAATATTGCTGCAAACAGTTGTCTATAATAATAAGAATTTGCATGTTGATTATTTCTTGAGATAGACATTTTATGTATGTGTATCAAGTTTCTCTCACTACTTGGAAATTTCAAATTTCTTTCACTGTAGGAAAAAGTAGCAACATTTTAATATTGAATTACTAAAAACAGATGTGTAGCATTATACTATTTTTGGTGTTCCCATAGGGTTTATATGCTGACTTGGTCCTTTATACTATCAAAGGTAGCATAAAAGATGAATAATACCTATTTTTAAGAGTTTGAATGTTTGATTACATAAAAATCTAGTGTTTTAATATTTTATTAACTTCTTTCTCTTTGCATTATTAATTAAATTAGTGTTAATTCTAATGAAGGACTAGACCATGAAAATCCAGACACAGGAAGCCAGATAAATATAGCAGCAGTTTTATGTACTGCATTATAAAAAGATTTAAGTCTCCTTTAAATGAGAAAATTTACTGTATTTTTTTAGGATTTCACAGATAGTTTGATGAGAAACATAAAATTAACTGAAGCACAGAAATGAAGATAAAAATGTTTGGGTGCATATCATGCATTCCTTTTCAGAAACTCATTCTGATTTGCTAAGTGAGAAACAATTTAGAGATACACTTTTGTTTATAACTTCTGGCCACAGAGTAATGAAACTTTGAACCTTTAAAATCTTTGAATTACATGTTAGTATTTTGAAACATTTAATAGTCCCATCTTTAAAATTTTAATTTGCCTTATCTTTTCAGTATAACTGTCAAAAATGGTGATAAACTTAACAGTATGGAATACTCTGCAGGGTAGATGGTTTTAAGGCCTTGCCTGAATATTAAAATCCAAGCCCTGTCTCTCAGTTATGTTTAACTATTTGACTATCTTCCCCTCACCCCTGCCCCTTGTATATTTCTTATGACTTGGTCTCAAGAACACAGACTACAGGTAGACTTCCTTCATAAACACGTTGCTAATAACATGGTTAAGATTGCTTTTTTTTTTTTCTATTTTATTTTTCTTTTGGTTCTGAGCAGATAGATACATCCTGATCTGTATAGTTGCTGAATAAATGTGTACTGAATATTGGCTGAATGAAGTATCCTCCAGTTTGTGTTTCTTTCCCTCAGAAAATATTTGAACATCCTCTGTGTGTGAGCATTGAGTTTGATATTGTGCAATATGATTTTTATTATTATTTATAAGCATTTGGGTTAAACATCTATTAGATTTGTAGGTTTCCTGAGTAGCCTGTGTGGAAACTTATGTAACTTACCTTCCAGATCCTCTAACTTCACCTGCTTCATCCTTGTTTAATGACTTTGGTGCCCTCAACATCTCTCAGAGAAGAAAGGTAGGTGCAATGGACATTTACATGAAACTAAATGGAACATAGGGGTGACATGGGTGTTGCTGACATAATGGTCAGTGTTCTCTGAAGTGGGGGAGGACTGGAATGTTCTTCTTGCCTTTTGTTAACCTTTTCCCTTGTTGTATATCTCTTAAAGGAGAATTTTGTTTGATCTCTGTGTATGATCTAGGGACTTTCTATGTGAAGGAACTAAATTCTTCTGCTTATTTTTGCTCATTTAAAACAAAATATATTCTCTTTGTAAGATAAACATCTTATTTAATGTTGTAGTTGCTGTTCTGTGACCCGTTGTAGGCATGTTAATCATCTTTTTATTTTATTTTCTGACCGCTTTGTCTAAATTTCAAAGATTTCTCCCCTAATCTAAACTTCTCATGAAAAGGCACACTTAATCTTTAGCTTTTCATAATTGGCCCAACTGTTTAAAAACAGTTTAAAATCTCTTCATATTAGAAATTTAATTTTATTTGAAATTGAGGTTGAATAGATTTTGAAGTACCTCATAATAGTTTATTATAGTTTGATGCCTTTCAGTCTTAATGAGAATCGTTATGTTAATAGTAATAATAATCTAGAGGAGGTGGTATTTTTGGTTAGGAATAGCAGCTGCATATTCAGGAGGTTGTAAATTTGGTGGAAATTACTATGAAATTACAACTAATTCAGTTTCCTAAGTAATGGGAGAAAGATTAAAAAGAAAAGAATGTTAATTTTAGAAAACTGATATAAGCTTAAGGTGCTTTTTAGGAAGTATCTGTTCAAAAGGTAGAATTCAATGAATTTCAAGAAGACTGGATAAATTCAATGGATTTCAAGATGTTCTCTAGACAAAAAAATATGGGGTCAGGTATAAATTACATCAGTACCCTCATGTACCTACTATTATCTCTATTTTGAAACAGATGAGAATAAGTATGTAATTACAACATGCTTTTAAGAAACACTGGACACAAGCAGACTCATTGGTGATGGTGAGAAGTGACAGTAGACGAAGCCTGTCACTGTAGCAGGAGATAGGAATGTTCTGGGTAGCAGGTCCAACCTAGACGTCAAGTTACCTGGAGCTTCTTAGTGTCGGGAAAATTAAAAAGCCCCTAAGTGGTTTTAGGGGTCTCTGCAGTGGCCTTTTCACGTTTTTAAAAATAATAATCAGTTAACTGTGGTGAGTAGCATTTCCGATGAGTGAGTAAAAAGTAAAAGTGGAATGGCAAATAAATCCTTAAGTGTTCCTAATATGAGGGCTTGGTGGACTGCATCTTAAAGTTGAAATACATGATTTAGAGCTGCTGACATTAATTTTTGAGAAAAGCAGTAAAAATCCCTGGAGATTGGAAAAAGGTTATAATACCCATTCTTCTAAAATTTATTTTAGTAAAGCGAAATAATAGAAGGAAATGTTACTAGAGAGGTGAACTCTGTATGTGGAGAGATAATAAAATGTATCCAGATGGAAGAAGTATAGTGAATACTATATTAGTATAGTGAAGGGAGCACTGGCTGTAATTTTTGAGATCCTGGATCTCTAGCTTTGTGATCTTGGGCTAGCTTCCTAGGCTGTAATATTCACATCTGTGAAATGATGAGCATGGCCTGGATAATTGCTGTGGTGTCTCCCATGTCTAAAGTTCAATGACTGGCTGAACTGAAAGGACCTATGTGTCAACATCTACTTAGAAACTCAGATTCATATGTTATACCTTTGAAGGACCATATTTTCTTGCCATTTACCTTTGAAATAATATGTAGAGACATAGAGGTTTGTTTTTTTCCCCAATATTGGGCTATATACTTAGCAGTCTTATGAGTACAGGTTGCATATGTTTTTAAATTGTTAGTAGCTGAGAAAGCTTAAAATTCCTTTGTATTAGAAAAACTTGGTATGAGAGTATTGCATGCTGTGAAGTAAAGGCACATGGAGACTTTGTTCTTCTGTTGTAGTAATTTATAATGTGTGTTTAATGATGTAATTTAGTGGAAGTAATTCACATTTATGTAAATATTTAATCATAATTCCAGGTGATCTAAGTAGGCTATCATGATTACTCAGTGACATTTTATTTCTTAACGAGATTGGAAAACAGGTGTTTGGGCCATACTTACTACTGTTTCATAGTTAGATAAATAGTTTTCTGAAAATCTCAGTTGGGCCAATCCCTAGGCTGCAAATGCTGCTTTTTGCCTCTGGAATATGTGAATTATTTGGATCAGGTCAGTTATATTTTTATTGTGAGCAGTCTTATTGTGGGCTGTGTGGAACATATAAGAAGAATCAGCTGATTTTTTTTCTGCTTTCCTCAAATCTAATTCAAGAGGCAGTGCATGAATCTACTAGAGAAAATTTACAAAGCAGTGTATTAATCAGCGCAAATTTAAATGTGTGGTGATTGCTACATAGCAGAGATTTCTCTAGATCCAAAAGAGTTTTTGGAGAAAAGACGTTTGAATTGTGGTTTTGAAGATGAGGAATATGGGGAGGCAAAGATGCTAAGCAGAAGGTATCGTTTGATTACAAGTAGAGAGTTGGTATCTTCAGGAAATTTTAAAATTCTGTTCTACCACAGATGAACTGAGAGACTATGGCTGAGGGCCTTGTATCTGTAAGGACTTGTTGAAGTAAAATGTGTGCTGTGAAAAAACAGTACAGAGATTCATAGCTGGGTGAACCTTTGTTTGGGTGGTTTATTGTTGTTAGACACATGAAGAAGAGCTGTATACTAAGAATATGTGCCTTAGGGCCCTGCTGCTCATGGTGTGTTAAGAGGCCACAGCTAGAAAGAAGTTAAAACGTTGAAAGCAAATGTTAGAAACTTCTGTAACAGTTTGATAATACCACAACATCCACATATGTCATCATTTTCTAGTAGTTCACTTGTGTTTTATTAATAATGTATAGGACCATGATGCATAGGAAGTTTTTTAAAAACACGATCCTTCACAACTGGTATTTGAGAAGCACTGATTTTTTAAAAAATTTTTCTACGTTATGAACATATAAATAGGAAAAGTACCATTATTTGAAGATGTATACAGTTATTGGCCAGGAGTGATGGCAGAAGAAATTGAATTATGGGTGTATGCTCAGTTTGAGAGATAAGCCCCCCAGAACACTGGAGCTGGAATTTTGTTGAACATGGGAGGTAATATATTAGACATCAGTGCATGAGGAAACTGTAACAAGGTAGATAGATCAAGCTGAGAACTGGTATGACAGAAAAGCACTTGAGAGCCACTGTGAATCACAGATGTAATCTGGACAGCAGTAAAACTTTCTGTCAGAAATCCTCAGGGACAGTCTCTTTAAAACAAAGTTTGATGTAAAGAATACAGATATTTGTAAATGCCATGATGACATCTGCTAACTATTCTTGCTAAGCTGTATGACCACCGATGATTGAGATAAAAGTTCCTGCAGAATTTGTGTCTGGCAGTTTTGGCTTCCCGCTGTATAACACTCATGGTACTTCTTTGCCTTCTTTTTTAGTCATCTAGTCATTTTTGTATTTAGCTTTCTTCCCTTCCCGAATTAAAGCAAAAAGGCTCTGGTGCTTGTCATTTACGTTTCTTTTGTTTTAATTGTACTTTAATACAAAATTTCAGTCAATGTGCAGTTTTTACCTGGACATTTGTATTTTATCCAAGCTTCTAGTAGTGGGATAACAGTTTCACTTTTGTAAGTTTTTTAGGTTTTAACACCAAGTTAAATTCTGTGGGATTAGAGGACAGAGACTTGTGAATATCATGTTTATTTCTTCTGTTCCTGATTGTAAAGCTCTTTGTTAGGATGAGGGAGGTGGGATGGGAGGAGGCCGGCGTATTTGCTCCTGGCTTATTTGTGAGGCTGGGATTGGCTTATCTCTGGGTGATTCCCCCAGTCTCAGTGTGGAGCTTCCTCCCCACTGTTCTCAATTTCAAGAGCATCTTTCCCTCTGTCCATCATCTCTGTTACAAAGTTTTCTGAGATGTATATTTTATGATTTCTGATTACTTTGACGTTTAAAAATTTTTGTGTACATTTCATGTTCTTCAAAAGGTGACTTTTATGTTACGTACTTTTACATAGGGAACCAAATAGGACTGACAAACTGGTGAGAGCTAAAATGAATTTGGAGAAATCTATAGGATTGTGGCATAGGCAATCTGGATGTAAATCCTTCCTTAATCCTTCAGATGGTTAGACTTGCTGAACACGAAACCAAGTATTGATCTTGGGCCAGGAGGGGTCAGGGGGAAAATGAGGAGAAAATGGAGAAGACATTGAAAAATAAATCTTAATGGGTATCACAATACAAAGCGTCACCTGTGAAACCATTTCTAAACATTTACTATATTTTCAGATGTTGTTTTACTTAGTATTTAGATTTCCAGGTGAGCCACATTGGGGTCTTTTCCCCATGAGTGTTGTACAGGAATGTTCCGATGGAAAATTGTGTTCAGAATTCCAAATTAACACCCTCTGAGCTATTCTTCTGTTACGGAGTCAACTAATCCTCTGTTCACCTCCTTTTGCTATATGCCATTGGAAACGTGCTCAAGTTTTAGATTTAGGGATATGTATGGTATACTTGTTGGAGTTCAGAGGAGCATCCTGGTTCCTCTTTGTAGCTTGCTCAGAGCTCATGGTGAGTTTTTATTTCTTTCTAAGAGCAAACTGTTACGAATAGTAATAATTCAGTAGCGTTGAACAGTAGTCAAGGTTTTAGAGTTGGAAGTTGGATGGCAGGCAGTTTGAATTGAATTTCCTAATCTACACTGATTGGGTCTTTAAGTTTAGTTAAACCTTTTTGTATCTTCATTTGCAAAATGAGAAAAATATTGCACTTAATACCTGGTTTGTTGAGTTGTTATGAGGACTAAATGAGAAATGCCCCATAAACGGTAGCTATTATTGGTAAAACATGATGTTAGTCAAACCTTTCTAGTCTTGTTTGGGAATTGTTTACTGTTATTAAATGAGTGAATATCTGTCGCTGCTCACGCTGGAT